CATGGCCCTACTTTTAATGGGTACCTGGTTATCAGCATATGGGGATGACTGTGTACCCTGGTGACCAGAGGTCTATAAAGAGGATTTAGGTGCTGAGTGCCACAGATTCTCTGTTGGCTCAGCTAATAGGAGCTGCTTATTTTGGATTCAAATCCCAGCAGGATGTATCCATCACACAAACTGTGAAGCAATTCTAAATTCAAGGGAACGATTTAAAACTGCTATGCAGAGCACTAACAGGCTATAGCAGGATGTTCAAGTTGTATAAAGGAAGAGGTAATGCTGTATAGTGCTGTACCAGCAAAAGAATTCCTCACAGCTTGCAATATTTTCAGTATTTATGTTCATAGGCACAGTCATAAGGGTAGTGTCACACGATGCCCTGGTAATCACTTTTATCATTCCTGCATTCTCCCCAGGACTTTTATTTGCTCTTGTTTGTTTTTACATATTCTAGGTTGGCCTTATCACAGAAAATATGTCCTGTGGTTGTTACCAGCTCTCTCTGTTCTGTAACAAGATGACTAAGTTTCTCAGTTCAATACTGCATATCACTGTGCTGATGATCCCATTCTGAGGAGTCTTAGCTCAGCTGCTGCAAACAACTTCAGTCCATGCTAAATTTGCACTCTGACTTCACTGAAGTGAAAAGTTGCCTTGCTTGATTAAAAACTGGTAATACATACAAAACAATCCTGTACCTTATGTTCTGGCTCAGGTCAAAGCTTATGTAGACTTAGAGATAGTTTCAGAATTTCCATGCTAAGTTGAGCAGTTTTTTGTAGCATGCGAGCCTTGTTAAATATTGAAGGATTTAGATTAACTCATATCTGTGCGTCATTTTAGTGGGGTAATAAACATCAATATCCATGAAATGTATCTTTAAATGGAAAAGCAAATGATCTGTGACTTGATTTCAAGGTAGATAAATTGGTTGTTGGAGCTTTTTGGTCTACACATGCTATCACAGAAGCCAAGTTTGCAACTCGCTACAGCAACCTGCTGTAATATTAACAATAAATAGACTTATTTTAAAGTATGGTAACAACATCCTTCATTATATTATCCATGGTCAACTGCATGTGATTGCACTAAGGACACAGCATTAATTAACACATTTTACATGCATCTTCAAGCACGTTTGCTTAGTTATTCTTTCTTCAACTCAAATAAAATGGACTTTCTGTTCTGGATTAGAAAAAGGATATCTTACCTCAGAAATCTTCATGTAGAAAGAAGATACTGAGTGTATCTTTCCCCATTTCAGTTAAGGTTGCCTATTTCTTAACTCTCCCCCACCTCTACAAAGTAACTTGTAATGCTTAAAATTAAAGCAAGATCTCTATGCTTTTTAATACAGTTGTTTGCATACTGCATGCTCTTTTATTGATTGTGATACAACAATTTCCATCTTCAAATAAATTTAATTTGGAAAGCCATTATTTTACTCTCAAAACAACAGGGAACACAGCTGTTGTCCACAGAATAGATGTTTTAGATTATTCTGAATCTAGTGTCTTTTTAATGGGTTTTAATGAGCTGTGAAGTGAACCAGGTCTCTAAGAAAGCGAGGCTGAAATCCCAGGCAGATGGAATACCATGGAAAAGGCCTTTAATTTGCCTCTCTCTGTGCTTCTGATGTCTGAGTCTGAGCTGCAGGAATTGCTATGTGCAACCAAACTGTTTCCTCAGGTAGGGAAGTGGAGATGTGTCTTATACTCTGGAAGAGATGGGCAGTGTGAACAGATGAGGTCCCTTCTCTGATGGACAGAATTAGAACCTTCTGCCCTATCCCCTGTCCTCCCATTGTCAAAATACACTAAAGCATATGCTGGAGCTCTCTAAACCTCTGTACTGGGTTTGCTTTCTTACTTTATATGGACTAATGAAATATTAGGAAACAAGGAAAGGGTGAAGATCCCCGTCTTTGGGCAAAGTCAGGAATGCTCATTTTCCTATGGTTGGCCAGTTCCTTGGTTTTATGAGTGCACCTGTCTGACTCTGGTCTTTTGTGCCTTTTGGTGGTCTGTGTCTCAGTCAAAATGTCAGTGGTATATATTTGAAATCCTATGCATGTTGAAATTTAGCTGCTTGACTGTCACCCATCTCAGCTGTTAAAATCAGATAGGAATTATTTTTTTGGCATTAACATATCCCAGACAGTCCTAAAGCTTTCTCCACTGAAGGTGTGCTATAGTTATAACACTATATGTATATATATTCCAAGGTTATCATAAGAGCCCTTGACAACTTTGACTATGCATGGGCAGAAATCATGCACTCAGTTCACACAGGATTTTACAACAGTCATCCACGGTGTTTCTGCTAGTTAACCTTTGGAGGTTGAATTCTCCTGACAGAATAATTAAGGAAAAGCAGTTCTCACTGGTATCACACTGTTGTCTGTAGAACCAGCTAGAAATACATTTTTTAATTTCCATGATTGAGCACTTGCAAGGTGATTTCTAAGGAGTTAACAAGGAATATGCTTTTTTTTTTCTTTTTTCTTTTTTCTTTCTTTTTTTTTTTTTTTTGTGCATGCTTGTTATGCAATGCTGCTTTGGGACACCTTAAATTATATATGTGAGCTTTATGTATACTTTATAGTACTTTGGAAACTGGGTTTCTCTAAACTTAGGTTCCCAAAATGTTGGGATTTTATGTGTCAATGCAAAAAACAATAATAATAAGAAGAAGACAAACTTGGTAGATTTGTAAGCACTTAGACATTCTGACCCTTTGAAACGACATAGATAACTCCAAAATAGAACACTATAAGAGTCCTTGATCCATGTAGTAAAGAGCTGCAGCTCTTATTTGGTTGCTTTGAGGATGGCTGCAGTGGCTAGAAGATAGTTGAGTGTTATGGATATGTAGTGATGTAAGGAAGAACCCAGGAAAGAAATAGCAATGACTAGGATGTGGTGAGGAACCTGACTGAGCCCTGTCACCCTTATCAGTGACTGTTGTTGATGGTGCACAATAGGGAAGGACTCTGAGCTGGTTGTTGAAAGCAGTTGGCAGTCCAGGTGGGCATGAGAGTTGAACTATGCCTCCGAATTGCACTCTGTTCTCTTGGGACCTCTGTTTTATGGCTGCACATACTTGTGACTGAAGATGTGGTCTTTCTGTTGGCAGAATCTTCTCCAGCAGCACCATCTAAGCCATCGGTTCTGGTGCAGGTCTGCTTCATGAGCCCTGCCCAAATGTGTGGGCTGGAGTAGTGACAGCAGCACCTCTCTGCTTGGTTTCATACTGTGCCAGAGCTAAGAGTAGTGTCATGCTGAAAGACTTCAGTGCCAACCCTTGTAGTAGCATGGAGCTCATATTTTGGGTAGTGAACTTCAGTGTGTGACAACCATTGAAGCTTTGCAGACCTTTTAGTGAGATCTTGTATTCAGTCAGATATTGCTAAGCCTCTAGCAAATGCACTCCTATAGTGATTGTATGTTATTGTTTTATCTATCTTGAAAGTGCTTTACTATTCCTTTACCTTACCTGGGTCACTGGCAATTCTAATGTGAAAATATCTAAACTGCACACAGGTGAGTACTGCTGCATTCCCTGAAAAGCAATTCAGATTTCTCCAGGTAAAGTTTCTTTCAGAAAATATGAGTTTCCTTTGGTGTTTATGCAGGAATTTCAGTCATTTGCTCCTCAGCATTCAAAGCACTAACAGCTTGGATAACGCCTGAGTTATTCTCCGTTTAGGACCCCTGGAGTGTAGACGGACGGTGGAGTGTGGTGGTACTTGGCTGGAGAGAGCTCCTCTTGGCTGAGGGTGGGAGGAGAAGCTGCTGCCCGCTTTTTTCCCTCTTGCTCTCTTCCTTGTGTTGTGAACTTCACCAGGGTTTTTAGAGGGCAAAGAAGTAGGGCCACAGCTACAGGTGGTGCAGGGCAGTGCTTGGAAATCGCATCATCAGATAGGTGCAAACCATGTTAATTTTGATGCATAATAAGGGCTTGTTTGGTCCTGCCTACATTTAGACTTGCAGGGCTGCCCTTTAACCTAGGTACACTGTGTGCCTTTAAATCCATGTCTCTTGAAAAGGAATGGGACTTAACTCAAAATATGTTCACAGGTTATATCTAAAAGGCTTAGGGCTGAAGATTCAAGACACAAAGGTTCTTCTGGCACCCTTCTAGGAGGAGTCCCAGTATACGCTTAGTGTTCTGCTTAGATGCATAGAAAGGCAGAGCCTGACTCCCACTCCTAGACGTCAGTAAAATATTAAAATCTGCTTTGATTTCCCATCTGTACATGCTTATCTGTACTTCAATTCCTCATCCAGCCTAATAAGGCTGTATTTGGCTTAAGTAAATCTTTCAGAAAGGCATCCAGACTTGCCTGAAGACATCCATGGGGATGGAGAATTCACCACTTCTGAGTTAATTAATGGAAAGAAGTAGTTGATGAAAGTGTGATTTATTCATTGCTTCAATTGCAGCTGGTGAATTTGTTGCCTGTGGTTGATATGGAAAAGGATTTTCTCTATTTTTGAAAGAACAACAATGTGGTAACTTGGTTTGGCAACTATTTGCATTTTAATAGCATCTACTGTACAAAACAGAGTTGCTGTAGTTATATACTGTATATACTATAGTTACTTTGACAGATATAAAGCAGAAGTAAGCAATTGTGGCTGGTAAGTTATTCTAGGCTACTTTTATATCATCAGAGAAGGAGAGAAGTCAGCAGAGAGATTGGCTTTAAAAAACTCACTCAAGAATCCTTAGTCTCATGGTAATAAGCTTATATAGATAACACATTGCATGGTGTGATTCATTCAGATGGTTCACCTTGGTATTATAGCCAAAGGTAATAGGAATTCTTGTTTACCAATTTGTTATATCTGCTGTCATGAGCACGTGATATCTCTGAGCTCCAGGATCAAACTACTGTTGATGCTTTAGAGTATTACTCTGATAGCCCTCGGCTGTAAGATTTCCATTGCTTCTGCTTAAGCGTTTATAGTATTGTCTTTTATATCACTTTGCAGAGTACAGATGCCAACTCAAACGTGAGGAAAAGAACGAATGCCACAGTGCAGTCCGAAGCTGATGGTGGGAGCCGAATCGATACAAGACAGAGCTCCGTCCAGCCTCCCTCTGTAACTCAGGGGTCTTCTGACACTACAGCCCACTCCCTTCCTGCATCGAGCCCAAACCCCTTCACCCGTATCACTGCATCAGAGACACTGTCTTCTGCGAGAGCTACCCCTCCAGCTCCTCCTTCCACCCCGACTTTAACGGGATTTGTATCCCAGCATGCCACAGCTGGATCCCCCTCCATTCAGCGCTTGCTTGGATCCAGACTGGAACAGATCCAGACCACCACACCTAATACGTTAGGAGCATCTGCAAAGCCATCTGCTATGACCCCCCCTGCTCCCCCTGCCTCCCACTCTGGCACCAGTAAGATAGACAAATATGCACGCATCCTATTTCCTGTTACGTTTGGAGCGTTTAACATGGTCTACTGGGTGGTGTATCTATCCAAGGACACCATGGAAAAATCAGAAAGTCTAATGTAGTTTTGCTGCTATGTAGTAGTTTCTAAATTATACTCACATTTGATGCAGAGTTTCTTCTTTTGAAACTGTTTAAAGAGGTCAATAATTCTTATTTATAAAAGCTGTGTGCTACTTTCCCGTTGTAAAGGCTGGAGTTATTGGGGATAATTAGTTAACTCTTACCAGAGTAATGGCTGACGGAATTGTCTTCCTCCCTTCAACTAGCAGTGAACCATCGCTCTCTTCCGAGAGGCTACTCCGGCTATGCAGAACTTGCCTTTGAGAGGAGCATGAAGAGGAGACAAATCAAAGGCAGAGGTGCAGAGCTGTGCAGTGGAGCACATCTTGCCTGCCAGGAGCACGCACGATGGCTGTTAACAAATCGCCGAGGCACCAGCACTGCTGCCTGGACACCGTGTTGCATCCTCGGATGCAAGGCCCATGTCCTGCGTGCTTTGGCAGTACTTGCTGGGAAAGGACTTTCCCTGCTAGATTGAAATGGGCAGGATGAGGGGTGGAATGAGCGGTGGAAAAGGAGAATAGACTCCAGCCTGGGAGAATGTGACTCCAGAAAAGTTATGCAAAGGAGTTGTAGAGCTCCATATATTTTTACTAACCGTTATTTTTTTCATTGCAGCCTAGGAAATTCTCGCTCCAAAATAAGGACTGAACCTTGCAAAACCTGAAATCTGATGCCACTTTTGAAACCGAAGTTTTTTTTCTGTAGTAAAATCCTAAATTTGATTCTTCTTTGACCTTCCTGAGCAGCTTGAGTGGATTTACTCTTAAGGTACATCTCTTATGATAGATCAGGCCTACAGTATTCAGCCTTTTACTGGAATTTTTTGTTCTTTCATTTTTGTATGGTTTGGGTTTTTTTTTTCCTTCATTTTTTTTAGTCACAATCTCTTTCGAACTCCTACTTTTTTCCCTCCTCTTTTACATAATGTTTGAATCATGCTAAATTTTGCAAGCAGTTTTACAGGTGGCTCAAAACTAAGTAGAATAATTTTCTCTGCCTTTTGAGCAATATTATTATGGCACATCTTTGAATGAAGGAAGGGAAGATACTCTTTCTGTGGAAGAGTCATATGGCACAAATAAGAATGTCTCTAGAGAGAGCAGAGGGGTAACACAAGGCAGATTTATAGTCCATTGCTTAAACTATTGCATAGATAGGGCCTTTTCTAAATGGCTCAAATTGCAATATGCAAGCAAGCAATTACCTGTCTTTATTTAAAAAGAGAACAATTTAAACCTGCCAGAAATCTTGGTCTATTCACCAGAGTGAGTGGAAGATATGCTGGCAATAAATCTAAAAATGTTTGCACAGATCCATCTGGCTAGCAAATGGCTGGTATTTCTGCAAGAGATAAGGAAAAACCGAAGGCCACATTCTCAGCTGTGATCTGGCTGTGCCTCTAAAGGGTCTGGGAGCACCTGAACTTTCTTTAGGTGGAAAAATCTGTAGTTTGAATATATTGGCCTATGAGACTCACATATGGGTAGCAGTCAGAGATTTGTGCTGGGGACAGATACATGTGAATGTTGTTTGGCTCTGGGCTTAAGTAACAGTCAAGTTATTGAGAGACGGGTGGAGACCGCAAGCAGCTGGGGTAGTTGGGGAAGTGCATAGGACTGCTGTGGACTGTGTTGGGATAAGAACTGCTGTAAAAGGGATGTTGAATATAGAGTTGCATTCTCTGTGCATCTTTGTGCCTATCCACGCCCTGTAGAAATTTCACAGCTGAGAGTCTAACCATCCAAGTTAATGGACATGGGAATCTGCAAGAAACATTGAATGAAGCATATAGTAAGGATTCGAGACTACCATTTCCTTGTGTATCATTAAATTTCATATGATAGAATGTATAGGATTTTTTTTTGGCTTCATATGCACTGTCAGGATGCAATGTATGGTCCTTTACTCTTTGCCTTTTACACTTAGCAGAAGCCCGAAATTGCCACACTCCTTAGGAAATGATGATCCCTTCCCTAGCATAGCAGTGCAAATGCAGCACCAGTACAAGTTGTTTATCTGCATCAGTTTGCATCTTTGGATGTGTCTCTAGGAGTTGTAGCTGTAGCCATATTTATGGCTTTCTGTGTGTTGAGAACCTAGAGTTTCCTCCAGAAGTTACTGAAATTCATCTTTACTTTCTGATTAAAAACAAGGATGTTTTCTCTTGGGCAGAGCTTTGAGCGATTCACTAGAAACAGCAGTCTCTTCCTTTCCTCCCATCCCCCTATACTGCTTGTATAATCAGCTTTCTCAGTGCATTGTTCAGGAAGATCAACACTGATTGAAACTATTTGACCAAGATTGATCTGAATGCACTGCCTGAATTCGTTTGTAGTTCCTATTTCTTTTTAAAGGCTTATAAGGAGGAAAAATGGTTGCAAAAATAATAAATTTACAAATACTTATTTCTATGCTTCCATTTTGGAAGAAATTTTTAAATGGCATATATGGAATATGTGTTTTTAATCTGTCATTGTATTTCTGAAGTTCCTTCCAGCATTTGCATGCTTGCATTCAAAATGAGATATAAAAAAATCTCATTATGACTCTAGGACTAATTTATTGTGCTGTGCCACTTTTTGTGTTACATTATATGAAGAATACCTTAACTAAACTACCTTAACTTTCCAAAGTATGTAAGGGTAATGTAAATAGGAGGTTATTGTTAACAGTGGCTTTTCATTATATTTAATCTCCTTGTAGCGTGATCAGGGACAGTAAACAGCCTGCAGTGTCCTCAGTAATCCTGACAGCTTCTGAATACAGCTTCTGAATACTGTGTGATTTCGAAGCACAAACAATAACAGGAATATGCCAAATATAGTGGTCCAGATATTCAACACAGGTAACTAGAATCCTAAGGGAGAATGTTGCAGGTGTCATCTCAGTAACCAGATAGATTACTAGGGAGGATTTGGAGTGAGATGAACATTGAAGGAATTATTTATTTTGTTTTTCTATTGGTTATGTTGAAAAATCTTTTTCTGATGATACCATAATGATTCAAAACTAACCAATCATCCCAAACAGTCATCATTTGAAATCAGGAGAGGAAACTGGATAAAAGAAAACCTTACTGGGAAATACAGACAAATTTCCACAAAATGCTGTTTCCTCGGAGACACTACAGTTTTCAGTGTTGCAAACCAACTACTAATGCAGTCATTTGAGAAAACTGGTTAAAAACTCAGTCCAATAAGATTAGCTTTGTAGTAATTGTCTTGTATTTTCTAGTCAACTGTGAGCAGGGTTAAATTCTCATCAGCCTATTGGTTTTCACTGAAATTACTAAGATAATTCAGTTGAGCAAAGAGGCCAGCCAAGACACCAGAACTGTGGTGACCTGAGCTGGCCAAACCAAAGTGGAGTCTGTTTCTCCACCTATAAAATGGGCTTGCTACCATTGTATGGACATCACTAATGCATTTCTGAGGTGCTCTGGATTCCTTCTGCTGAATGCTTTTTTCCAGAAGGAAAAAATAGTACGTTTTGTAAACTTGTGTTATCTTTGTTTCTACATTACCCTGAGATGAGGCAAGTAGACTATACGATAATAGATAGAAAGGGCAAATAATTTAACAAGGAATGTGATCAGAGATTTTTCTGTTTTCAAAAATTGACCTTGCTGCTTACAGCAAGTAAGAGAGTTCAAGCATAGCCTTTGGTGTCTCATCATCTTCATTATTCAGGATGGTCTTCACAAAAATTAGGGAAAGTAACTTTATTTAATAAGATTTAGCCAGCATTTCCAGTGAAAAGTGAACTCTGAACATACCAAAAAGCAATCTCCTTCCATTTTCCCACTCTCCTCCGGTATGTCATTTTAAAACAACGTAATTTATGATGTAGCACAATATCTGTGTGCAAAATGCAGACGTGTGACAATATAATGTACATGTTTCCCATTTATCCAAAGCCTACTATGACCATCTCTCTTATGCTATCGAAGGTCAGAAGGGGAGAAATGACCACACAAGTTGTGTAAGAGACAGATACTGGTGACTTGGGAGATTTTCTCATAAATGCTGCAGGATGGGAGGCTTTCTGGGAGGTTTTGGCTGTGTGGGAAGCTGGCATGTGGCTTCAGCTGTAGCTTACTGTCCCTAAAAGAGCCCAGTAGGTTCCAAGAGGATTCAAAGGAGGCTTTGGATGATGGGCCCCAAACTTCTGATTGGCACAAAAGATCTAGGAGAAAGAAAATCTGCTGAGTTTTGCCTTGTCTTCATGGGAATTCCCGACAGGATTTGATTGCTCTAAAGTTGATAACTATTGTACAGCTAATTAAGTAATAAATTATAGTAAAAACATCTGACAAAAATTTACTTTTGCATTTACTTAATCCTAAGGTTAAGTAGGATGATTCAAATCAAAGTTTTGAAAGTGCTACAGACCTGCAGAAATATGTGGCAATAAGTTTGTTTCAGGTCAGGTGGTGCTTCTTAAAATAAATTAAGTTAAATCTTTGATTGCTTATAGAATAACAATCAGAAAGGCATGTGGCACAAATTTGAAGGCACAGAACTACACGAACAAAACTTCTTAGTGAATGACCTTTGAGCATGGTAAGTATCTATTAAAAAAAAAAAAAAAAGTCAAGAAAAAAATGTAGTCAAGAAGAAACTAATTAAGTTGCAATAATAATCTTTCTTTTTGAAACATTTTTTTTCATGACCTGTTAATTTCTTTTACTTTTTGATTTCAAGGTAAGTTATTTCTGCTTATACTCTTTTAAGGACCTAACCCGAAATCTGCTGAAATCAAGATTGTTCTTTTTATTGATTCTCATGCACTTTAGACAAATTAGATGAAATGAAAATCAGGCCTACTATTTCTCCCTCAAGGAAAAGCACACCCTTATCATAGAATCACAGAATGCGTAAGGTTGGAAGGGACCTCTAGAGGTCATCTAGTCCAACCCCCCTGCACACGCAGGGTCACCTAGAGCACGTGGCACAGGACTGCATCCAAGTGGGTTTTGAAGATCTCCAGAGAAGGAGACTCCACAACCTCTCTGGGCAGCCTGTTCCAGTGCTCTGTCACCCTCACTGTCAAGAAATTTTTCCTTAAGTTCCTGTGGAACTTGTGATGCTTCAGTTTCTGCACATTTCCTCTAGTTCTGTCGGTGGCCACCAGTGAAAAGAGGCCAGCACCATCCTCCTCACTGCCTCCCTTGAGGTACTTATAGACACTGATCAGATCCCCTCTCAGACTTCTCTTCTCCAGGCTGAACAGGCCCAGCTCCCTCAGCCTCTCCTCATAGGGCATACTTTGGAAAAGTATGGTAAGATTTAATATTTACGGTCTTCAGTTGTAGGTCTTT